TCCTCAAGAAAAGACAGGTGTGAAATATATAACCAAAGAGAGAGGAGAGAAGAGAGAGTGAAACCCCCACGAATGTCTGGCCGGGTCAGAGAAGAGAGAGATATGAGCTCAATATTGTGAATATGCTGTCGGCAATGGCAAGGTTAGGGACACTAAGACACAGATCGTCCGTTATTGTATATTGGTGACAGAGAATCCAAGAAGGTAGTTCTGATAAATAAAAAGTAGTCAGATCTCTCTAAGAAGGCCTACTACATAGATAACTTATTAATTCCATGGTTTCTTGTTAGATTTAATCAGTTTTGCATATTAATCATTGTACCCTGGGCCATTTGTTTGTTTCCTAATTTCCTGCAATCAAATTATGAATGGATGGCTTTCTATTTTGTGCTCTTCACTATGAGCAATATTGATGACCTAAATTCCATCCAAAAATGTGATGGTCACTTGTCTGGGTTTTCTTCTGAAAATCTACTATGTGAATGAACATGCTTTGAATGGTTAAGGTTGGATAATGCTATGTATTCATTTGAATGATGTGCACCTTGTGTCCTCATGTCTCTCTCATGTAAACCATTTTGTTTTAACTGTTATTTGTGGCTCAAGGATCTTACATGCCAAAACCACTTGGTGGACTTTTTGGAGTAACTTCTATGCAGGAAATTATTAAGACATACCAACTTATTTAAAAAATCATACAAAGACTCTCTTGTTAGGTAGAGAGTGATCTATTAGTGCTCCATGTTCTTTGACTTTATTTTCATATGTCATGCAATCTTGAAGTCAATTGAAACACATGGAAAAGTTGCTAAAGTCACTCAAGCTGGTCTCTGGCATCTTCGTCGTGAATGATCATATATTCAGTATCACTATACAAACGGCAGGGTTATTTTCTTTAGGCAATATTAACTCAACAGCAACTGGGGATTCAGTATTATTCTGTGTAATTCCATGTACAGCTATCATTTCTTCATTTGTTTAATATTAATGGTATTTTCTGAACCAAGTACGAAATTAAGTGGGATTTGATTCACACCTTTAGTTAAATAGAGAATGAAAAAGTATTTGGCAGTTGGCCAACTCGTGCATCCACTCTGGTTAGGGATATAGTACTTAAAACACATTCCAAACCACTGTAAATCCATTTCTGGCATAGATCCTGTTTCTTAGATTCGCGATTGTGGTGGTCGAGATGTTGGACTGGTCAAATTTTAGATCCCAAATCCATCTCCGAGATGGATTTTATGAGGATGAGTCACTGTAATAGGTGCATCCCTGAACACATCTAAACGTGCCCACATATAACCCACTTTTGCTTCACAAATTTCACTATAGTTTTGTTACTCTCTTTGACAGTTTCTCTGTTGTATTTATGATTTGCTGGTTGATTTTTTGTTTTATTAATACCATGAGGAAATGCTTAATGTCTATGTAATTAGTTTCTCAGGGAGGAAAGGAGGGCGCGGAAATGGAGGAAAATGATTGGGATTGGTGGAAGTGATTGGAAACACTATGTCAGAAGGAAACCTCTTGTAGTCAAGAGGCGTATAAGAAAGGGAATCCCTGATTGCTTAAGAGGTCTTGTGTGGCAATTGATATCTGGAAGTCGGGATCTTTTACTAATGAACGCTGGTGTTTACGAGGTATCTTCTTTTCTTTTTGGCTTGTTCCTTAGTGCCTTTTGGTTAGTAGCATATTGAATCTGGGGCTGCATACATCTTTTGTTTTGTGATTATTTCTTGAAAAGTAATATTAGATTATTATTGTTGATATGACAGTCGAACCATCCTGATTGGGCACACAAAATGGTCATGGATTTATAAAATATGCTGATACTATCATGGTTACTTTACTTGGGTCAATTAATTTTTTATAAGCCTTGAGTGAACGTGTTTTTAGTGACCTTTACATAAGAAGCTGCTTGTTGAGATAGTTGGACTTATTCACAAAAGTATATGTGATCACAGTCCTCAAGAAAAATGTTGGTGATAATGATGAATGGGAACAATGAGGTATCTCGTTCTTTTGTGTTTTACACACGGTGATAAAGACTGAACTATACTGGTTGGTCTGGCTGGTCTGACCGATAAATTGTAAGTTGTCGGACCGGCGGTCCCGAACCTGTAGGGTCTATGGAACTGGCATTATATTAGGGAATATCCAGTTCTATCCCTAGATTGGTCGGTTCAATGGGTCTAGACTGAATTGTCTGGAGTATTTCGGGTTCGCTGCCTAGAATGGCCAATTCAATGGTCTAGAATGAACCGGCCTGTCCTGCACTTAAATACTATTTCCAGAAATGCTCTTCTTTTTTTTTTCCATTTTTTAAAGTTATTTTGGAGTGGTCTTCTTCATCTTTGCCAGTATTAATAGGGGCATTTCGGCAACTCGTAACATTTGAGTGGGTTTTGGGGTTTGAAATGTTGGCTTTTAGAGGGAAAGAGGGGGAGCAACTTTGGTGATTTTTGTTCCCCCCCTCTCTCTCTCTCTCATTCTTCTGCACTTTTATGCTTTTTTCAGAAATGCCCTTTTGTATTTTTCACCATTTTAAGCTATTTTGGAGTGGTTTTCTTTGTCTTTTTGAATAATCATAGGGACATTTTGGCAACTAGTAAAATTTGAGTTGGTTTTCGGGTTTGAAATGTTGGCTTTTAGAGAGAGGGGGGAGCAAGTTTGGCAATCTCTGTGTGTGTGTGTGTGTATATAGACACACATCTATACGCACACACACACACAAAACCCTTGTTTGGGGCTATATTTTGACAGCTTTCCGTGGCGACTTTAGCCACTCCTTTTGCCATATTTATTGTTTCTTTGATTTATTGTTTGGTTTCTTTATTTTAGATTTTGGGAAAGTTGGAAAAGAATTTCAGTTTTTAGGGGTTTTGCACGCGCGTGCGCGCACACACACACAGATACATATATATATATATATATATCATCCGAACCTTATCCCATCTAATTTTGATTAGCTACACGAATCATGTTCCACCATTCTATCCCAACTATTTGGGGTTAACTATACGAATCATGTTATGCTATTTTGCTTTATCGAGGGGACCATAAGTTACCATATCTCTTCTCACTATTTCCATCCTTGGCCTTGTAGCATTTCTCCTTGCCCTTCTATAGCCTTCCATTCCAATTAAATCGCTCTTCCTAACTGGTGTTGTTCTCGGTCAACACTACACATGGTCAAACCACTTAAGTCTACTTTCCCTCATCTTATCGCCTATTGGAGCCACTTCTAAGGTCCCTTGGATGTATTCATGCCAAATTTTATCCTTTCTTGTCTTGTCACTCATCCATCTCAACATTCGCATCTCAGCTACACTCATTCTATGAATATGTTATTTCTTGGCTGCCCAATATTTCGTCCTATAAAGCATGACTGATCACACGATCATCCTAATAGAAATTCCCCTTCAGTTTCATTCATATGCGATAATCACATAAGACTCCAGAAGCACATCTCCACTTCATCTACCTAGATATAATTCTATGTGCGGCATTTTCCTCAATCTCTCCATTCTGATCAATTATGGGCTTAAGATATCAAAAATAATATCTTTTAGATGCTTCTTGGCCATCAATCTTAACTAATTCATCATTTCTACCCCATTATTACTAAACTTGCATTCCATATACACACACACACACACACACAAACAGATCTGTAGCAATATAATGAAACAATCCTTAAAAAACATGTTAGAACCATTTGTTTGATCTTAGTTTTTAAATATACACTCTTTTCATTATAATGAACAATCACAAGAAAGCAAAATTTGAGAACACACCCTAGATTTTTTTAGCATAGTTAATAGAGGCAGTCCATTTTTTGTGAGCTACTTATATCTAAGCTTTAGAAGGATTTTTTTTTCCTTTCAAATTTTTTAGATAGCTTTATTATCATTAGATTGAGAATGTTAAAATAGAAAAATTTGATGTTGAATTTGTGAATACGTACATCTTGAAATTTACCAACTGGATGGTCTAGATTCATTATTGAAGGAGTATTCATTTTGGCTCTATCTTATTTTTTGAGGAATTGATTATTGGGATGAAGAGAGGGTGTTCAAAATTTGGGTTCATGCAAATGCCACAAACACGCCTTTTTAGAAGTGTGGTTTCATTATATTACAATGACATGGTGGCATGAAATCACTCCCCTATGCATATCACTATTATAGTAATATTATTAGTACTATTTTTTTTATATCTTTGCAACAATGTTTCTTCCATTTAATATAATGAGGTTTTGACTTATTCACCTGGAAAAAGGTTTTTGGCTTTGATGTTTTAGGCATGGGATTGTCTACAAAGAGGTCATTTATCTTTTGTACATGGAGGTCACAATCATTCTTGTCTCTACCCTAAAATTAAAAAATTGGTGGTTGTAAGAGTGTCACTGAATAGACAAAAAGTTAAAAAAAAAAAAGTTCTCGGGCTTTGTGACTTACCCCAAGCCATCCAATTTGACATCTAATGAGTGGGAATGATTGTGACTTCCTTATACAAAAGATAAATGGTCTCTTTGTAGACAATCCGGTATTTACCTAGTTAATGGATGTGGTACTTTTTTTTATATCATTTTTTGTTTTCTCTATCTTTTGTTTTCATTTATTTTTCTAATTTAATTTTAGTTCTTTAATATTTCAATAGAACTTTGGAAAATGCTATGGAAATTGTTCCATATTTTGTATTTTTTGCAGTTTCAGTTTTCTTTATTTTGATATGATGAATTGACACTTTAATGCAGTTTTTGGCTGTTTGGTACTTAAATGAATTTATGGAAATTTTGAACCATGGAAATTCTTCCATGTTAGGATCTTATACATTTTTAATTATTTTCAGTTTTTCTTTACTAAGAGAGGGAGGGAGAGAGAAAGAGAGACAGGACTTGCGTGCACCCCTGTCTAATTTCTATAAAATTAGCTCATGGGACATAACCCGTAAACACCTATGGGGATTTATTTGACAACAAGTTTTGCACATGCATTCTCTTAATTAAACACAATGAACAATCTAAAAAAATTGGAAACATTCTTCAGGGAAAAGCAAGTTTAGTGTATGTATTGCCGGAAAATTTAGTGTATGCATTGCTGGCTGTCCATCTTAGATCTAAGCCTTTAGTATTGTCGATCAAGTGCATATCTACAAAATTTGGGGTTGGACAAATCCCCCTAAGAACTCATGGTAGCTCTATTTTCTTTTCTTTTCTTTCCTGATATGGGCGGCCTATGATCACTACATTTTCCTCTCTCCTAAATATGCAATTTCTTGGAAAAATTTTTTTTGATGTTTTTTATGAGTTCATTATGATGAATATGGGTCATCTACAAAATTTAGGGTGAAACAAATTATCCCACATAGGTTCTCTTAGGAGTTTTCGCTCCACGAGTTAATGCTGTAGAAATTAGCTCCAAGAGTGTGTTTGTGTCTATATATATACAATATATGTAGACACACAGAGGCACTGCCCCTTATTTCATCTCTGTCTCTCTCTGAAATGGGGGGCATTGTGCCCGTTTCATCTCTTACTCTCTGTCTTGGATGAGCAGTCAGGTACATGCTCTGTCATTGATGTGCAGCTAGGTACACTCTCTCTCTAGAAGGGGGCAAAAATCTTCCCTTTTTCATCTGTCTAAAAGGGGTATATAGCCCCGCAAGTCACCTCTCTCTCTCTCTCTCTCTCTCTCTCTCTACTACGTAGGTAGGTAGTACGTACGTACGTTACGTTCGTTACTTACTACTACTACTACTACTAACTAGTACGACGACGAGACGTATACGTAACGTAACGTAACGTA